ATTTAATTTAATTTATTATTTAATTTAATTATGTGCGGCCCAAACCAAATTTTCATCTTCTAATGTGGCCCAGGGAAGGTGAAAGGTTGGACACCCCTGACATAGACAAACATTTGCCTATACCATGTCCTTGGGTTGATAAAAATACCAAATCCAGTTTAAACATCTGATATCTGAGAGAATACACAGATGTGTGTCAAAACTATAATAACCATTTTTCCAAATATATGGTTTAACTGATTTAATAAGCAGATTTTTCATTCAAAACTTCTCCATGTGCACGGCTGCGCACTTATGCTGTTACCTTCTGTATTTCAAGATTACAAGAAGATTCTGTTTTAAATGGAAGACACAAGACATCCTCTATTCTCATGTTCCCATGATTCAATTGAAGAAAGAAACCCTTCATTGAAAGCCTGAAAATCTCACAGCTGCACAGATTTGAGAGATCAAGAAATTGAAATGGCCAGCCAGTTATGATTATCTTTTAATGGGGAATTCATGGAAGAAAGACCATGCCAGAAGAATTCCTTCCAATTTGTATAAAAAGGTATGAAATGGATTTAGCACACTAAACTATAATTTAGTTTTGTTTTGGCTTAGAACATGTGAACCCAAAAGAATTCTTATATATACAATTAAAAAACAACAACATAGTTTGGTATGAGTGAAGTGAACCCAATCTATACTGTCTCTCCACAAGGAGTTGGGTAGCATCGAAATCTAATGAAATAAATATTTGCATGATTACATCTAGATTCACAGCCAAGTTAGTAACTTGCATAAAATGATACTAAAATAACACATTTGTTTAAAAGAACAATGTATGTGTTTAATATAACTCTGGCAATAGTTCATTGAAATGTTCCATGTGGACAGTATACACTCAATGGATTCTTAACATGTATGTGTCAATGATAATGTCATTTGTATCTGTGTTAATTGTTTTGTGAATGGCCAGTATTAATATTGATTACTGTATTTAATTTTGTAGTTTAATTTTCTGCTCATCTTATCATTTTTAACTTCTTCCACAATATGTATTGTATGTTTACTCTTTTCTCAGGATAATATACCATTCACCTGACATGTGCCATGTTTCAGATTGATGTGTTGAATAAATAGTTAGTCTTTAGTACAGTAAAAGAGTCTGTTGTCTTTGCTGAAAACTGTAGGACTGAATTGCTCATTATGTTTTTTTTCCCTATTGTTTGGCAGATTTATAGGGTGTTTTTTAACCAACAGAAAGAAACACAAAGAAATAATCATGCATGGTAGCAATATACAGTGGAACCTCTGGTCACGACAGTAATTTGCTCCCTAAGTTTGGAGACTGACTGTGCATGTGCCTACAAATAAAAATGGTGCAGAAGGGGAAATCGGCGCAGAAAGGGAATTGACTGTGGCCATGTTTGATCGCCACCTGATTTTTGGATTGTGACCCGATTCAAAAATGTTGTGGATTGTTTGGTCAGAACCCGATTTGGTCATGGTCAGAAGTGTTCGTGACCAGAGGTTCCACTGTAGATATTTTGCCAAATATTTGGTATGAATAGCAATAGCACTTAGACTTATATACTGCTTTATAGTGCCTTACAGCTCTTTCTAAGTGGTTTAGAGTCAGCATATTGCCCCCAACAATCTGGGTCCTCATTTTACCTACTTCAGAAGGATGGAAGGCTGAGTCAACCTTCAGCCTGGTGGGATTTGATCTGCCAAATTGCAGGCAGCTGGCTGTCAGCAGAAATAGATTGCAGTACTGCACTCTAACCACTGCACCACCGAGGCTCAGTGAGGCTGAAGGACTCTTGGTGAATCTCTGGGATTTTTTCCTTAAAAAAGAAAGGGGAACATGTACCTAACCACATTCTTCCAAGGATGCTAAGCATTTTGAGGGCTAAATACTGATATTCCTGAAGGTGTAACACCCCAGATGTTGCCTCTCTATGCTTGGTGGGAACTGAATCCAGCACACCTGGAAGGTCTAGCTTGCGAACAATAGTTGTACTACTCATTCACTCACTCACAAGAATCTATTCCTGCTGCTGCTAGGAGCAAAATATGATACAAAGCCCACCAGCTGTTGAAAAAAAGGTAAAATGTCTTCTTCACAATGATCTGTATCACTAATTGAAACTTCATGAAGGTATTCTCAGAAGTACAGTTCAGTTATTAGTTTTGATTAACCATGATTTCTGGAGTAAATCATAATTGGCTGTGCTTACACAATACATTACATTGTAAACTCTCATTTATAAAACGTAATAGTTGGACTCATAGGCATACTCAGCCCCTAAAATCCTACAATTAGCTAATTGCCATTATGGAAACTTTCAAAAGCCCAAAGGTCTTTATAAATGGATGAACTTGCTGATTACAAAACAAGAGAAAAAAAAATAGTTGTCCTTTCCTCACATTAACAACAAATGCAAAACATAGGACCAACCAAAACAATCATTTTAAGCTTCTTTCTGGAAAAAAAAGTAAACCATCTCCCTCACCTCTACTTTGCTAACCTTTGCTGACTCCAGAAAATATAGACAGTTTGATACTATAACCTGGAAAAAATAGAGTTAGAAGATAAGAATAGATGTGAACTTTAAAATGCTGACAAGATAAACTACTATCATGCATCCCACTAAACCATAGTTCACCTAACCACAGATTTCAACATAAATTTTTGAATTGCTGAGCCCTAAACCACGATTTGAATCATAGCACATGGATTCACACAATAATCTAAGTCATATGTTATATTTCTCAAATTACAGTTTCTCTCTAAATCCGGGCAAATATATGTCATTTTGATTTATAGGGTATAAAGCTATGGAATATCCTTTACAGGCTCCCCTCCCATCTATAGTTCCATTTGGATTATAATTTCCATCATCTCCCAACACATATGGCCAATTATGAACACTGGATTATTTAGATGATTTCATGTTCAGGAAGGCTGTCTTGGTAATTTACTTGTTTTTATTGCTAATCCACAAAATAATTTATATGATTTAGTTCATCCAGACATTCTTTCTGTGATGGACTGAACTTGAAGACAGCAATAAAACAGCATCTTATATGCAATCTTGGTTTCTGGGTAAAAAGTATTTTAATTGAACCTCCACCCCATATTCTTTCTGTATCAAATTCAGATTCCAGAAATGCAGCTCTCTGGAAGAGCTCTCAAACTCATTTGCCTAATGTTCTTTCTTCTTTAACAGACGATGCTGTAGTAAGCATCTGTCATTAATGAGGGAAAGCAGACATATTTCTCAAAAATTTCCATTCAATATGTGATTGTGGTGCAGCTCTTTGAAGTTGACAGAAGACAAGATTATCACAATCATATGGAACAACCATGAAGTTCCATGTCTTTAATAGCCAGACGGCAAGTATTGAACAAGGAAATTGAAGTCACAATAGTACACAAGATGGCAGTAGAAAGCACAAACACATGACTTCATGGAGAGGAGGAAAAAATATATATAATTTGAAGTTAAAAAATATATACAAAACAGAGAGTCAGATTGTGATTGTTATATTGCTATAAGGTAACTTTGCCTGTAAAATACACTTTAATGTTTTAACATATTAAGTGAAGTATGATCCCTCAATAAGATCAATAATCTTATTAGACTTTATTCCTAATCTGAAAACTGAAAACTGATTTGTTTTATACCATACAAATGGGTAACTAAAACCTAGTGCACAATTTTGTTAAAACTGAGAATTATATCAGACTTTGTGCTGTAAGTTGAGGATTTCATTCCAAAATAAGGGACATAATCTAAAATGGGTCTAATTGTAGGAAAGGGGGTCTCAATTGCTGAAATTGGCATTGCAAATCTTTATAAAACTCCCATTTTATTCCTTAAATTTGCTCCAATTCCAAAAAAAAAAAATGAGTGAATTATTAACCTTGCCTAACTTCGTTTGATCCACTAACTAATTTTGCATCTTTGCAAAAATTGATTTATTGTTAATGAGGCACTCCAAACATTGGATTCTGATTTTAGTAAGAACACTGTGACTTTGTTTAAAACTTATCCAATACACCAGAGAACAAAGTGTATCGTTTTCTCAATTCTATAGCAAAATAATCTAAATGACATTGTCTAATCTAATGTCTAATCTCTGTTCTTTCAAAATTGAGAAGCCTATTATTGCTTTAATGCAATAATATGTGGGAGCACTTCTGATAAAAGACCAAGATATGGATATAAAACCATTTCTGAGCAGTTGGAAAAGCTGACAATAATTTTTATGATATTTTTAATTCAATTACAGTGTACTCTTTCAACATGTAAAGTGAAACAAAAATATTAACTCAAATACATTACACAAAGGTAATGATTACAGGAGAAATGATTCCGATTAAGCTTGTTACATTTATGACTCACTGAAATCAGTAAGAAAAGTACAATTATAACATACATCTGAATTATTCCAGTGGAAAGTAAGCATTTTTTTTAAACTAATCATAAACACCTCAAATTTCAGAAGTTTTTAGGACCTATTACCTATAAGAGGTGCCATTGTGAATGCTATTAAATACAAAAGCAATATTACAAAGGATAATTCTCCCATACATCCATATGTCTAAGTTGTGATCAAACGAAACATCTGATTCTTTAGGTAAGTGCACAGTTGATTCATTAAGTCTCTGTTCTGTCCAGCAATCCAGTGCATTTCTACTAAAATATCAGGACCTTCTTTCTTCACAATTAACATACATTTGAATAGGAACCATTCTCCTGTATCGTTCTGTCCAGTTTCAAGAGTCAGAATTTCAGAAGCAAAGGTCATGGTCCCTTCATTTTGATTACTGGAAATATCTTTGGATTCTGAAATAAGGGATGGTTCCTCTGCACTGCTGTTTTCCTCGGTGGATCCCTGGACATTTTCCTCCTGAATTGCAGGTATATTATTGAGTCCATTACCTTCTGGTGACTCAACATCAAGACAAAGTACCTCAGATGATTTTTCAGTAGATTCATTTGCATTTCCTTCACACTCAGAGATGTTACTGGATGTTTTCTGATCCTTTTCTTCTGCTGATTGCAGGAAATCTTCAGATGCCCGAGGAAGTTCACGCAGTTGCCGGACTCTGTCCCTCTTTTTTCTCCTTAAATGTATCCAGGAATTTTCCACAGCTGTTAGAAATAAGCTGACCTCATCTTTTCCACACGGAAGTGTTTTATGCTGGACCTATTGAAGGGAATAACATCAAACTATAGTGTGGCTCTTTTTTGACTACTGGCAGCTGCCTGAAGCAGAATTTTAAAAAGTTAGCATACCTTCAGGTCAGTGAGGAGTTTTCTAATCCATGCTGCAACAACTTCTAATCCTTCAACAGCATTGATTCCTACAGATGAAGCTTTCATACCTAACTCTTTGACAGTAGATGCCAAGACAAGAAATATGATTGGTTTCCGAGGTTTTTCTAGTTTCCTTTTCTTAGAAGGAGGTGACTGAGGGGGGGGGGGGGGGGAAATACAATATTCAAGTTGAACAAAATAATTAGAAAAACAAAGTGATATCCTAAAGAACAAGAAGAGAACATTGAAAGGACTTTGATCCTAGAGTACATATATTTAGTGAGTTCATAGAAAGATCTGCTATCTCATTCTTCACTATACAGCCATTCTCCTCCCCACAAAATGCCAGTGGAAAGCTACATCTGAACATGGTGAACATAACAGAAGGGATTATCAGTGGGACTGGGAAAGGAAATGGAATGCATAAAGATAGAAATCTGATTTTGGACTAAAGAAATTCACAAGAGAACTGCTCAAAAATTGATGCCTTGACAGAAAGCTTCTATCATTTTCTATATATATATATATATATAGTTTCCCTCTGTGAATTTTTCCGATTTTTCCTACATGTTAGAATGTATCCCATACATTTTTGAGGCAACCTAAAGCTAAGTTACATATTCTAAGTATTCTGCGAACTGCAACAATATAGTTACATCTGAGGGAACAACCCTAAAATTATCACCACCTCCAATTATTTAGTAATAAGTAGTTGAATTATTTTAGTATCTTCATTGTTTGCTGAAACAATTGATAATTTTTGACTGACAACAATAGTGCCTGGGAAGTCAGATCCCACAAGGGCAAAGGTCATCTTCCAACAAAGAGGGCCACTTACTATTTCTCCCTCTTGAATTTGACTATACAAGTTAAGACAAATAGTATAATTTTCAACCACATATGATTGATGGCCTCCACTTGCACGAGGTGAAGGTAATGGAATAACAAATCTTTGCACTCATTAGTGGTGTTGTCCACATTAATCTGTTTAATGTCTTAAGACGTGCATATAAAACTTCCTCTCAAGTACACTATATTAGGAAATGCTCTCCTGTATAAAGAATAACTCAACACCGGGATCTGAAGAATCATCCCAGTAAGCCATAGAAATAAAAAGGAATCTGAATGTGTTTCATCAACAGGTACTCCAATCCCTCTATATTTGCTCTGAAAAAACTGAAAAGTGTGCAATCAGTCACAGGAGTAATTCTTGACTTAAAGCCATAATTGAGGCCAGAATTTATGTTGCTAAGCAAGGTGGTCACTTCTGATTTTAAGATCTTTTGTGCCACGAATAATAAGTGGGCCTTTACTTGATGGTTGCGAATAATTCACCTGATTGTTAAATGAATCTTGCTTCCCCCTTTAACTTTACTTGTTGGAAGTTGACTGGGAAGGTAGCAAATGGTGTCACATATCCCTGGGATGTGCTCTCTCTTTCTCTCTCCCTCTCTCTCTATATATATATATGTTGGTTGCCAAATACCCGAAGTTTGATAACATGATTGTGGGGATGCTGTGATAGCATAAGTTTGGGGACCAATCATAAGTCACTTTTTTCAATGCCGTAGCAATTTTGAATTGTCATTAAGTAAATAGTTGTAAGTTGAGGACTTCCTGTAAATGATGCCCTATGAAGAGTCAATGTAGGTACTGAAAGAGGACAAGAGAATCACTTACTGGAACTTTGACATTTTCATAAAAGCTCCAAGCCAGGGCCCACCGCATAGTACGACCTTGGCAGAATTCAGTGTGGGTGACTTTAGGAACCTGCACGGAAAAATAAAATCAGCCTTTAGCCTTTTCAGTTTCCAAAAGCTGTATTCTGCAACTGTCCAATGACAATTTAAGAGATATATAACATAACATCAAAATATAATGTAAATCAACAATGTATTTTTTACAACTAACCTGTTATAAAAATAAGAATAAAGAATAGTATGAAGAGCATATCTAAATAAGTTATAGCCCACATAAGTCTTGAAATATATAGTGCCCAGCTCACAAAGTGCACTTCCACAAACCTGCTGATTGGAAGTTTGGTAGGTTAAACAGGAAACACAGGTCTTATATGAGTGATGGTATGTGGAATTTTAACCCTGCATGCTGTTTTCTTATTTTGCTGTATATATGTGGGAGAGGCTGAATTTGAGATGATATAAATTGTTGAGCAATTTATGGGATAGTGTACATATACATCCGTGTGAATGAAATATAAACATAAGAGACAAGTTTTCTATAGTGGACATTTTTGCCCAATTTGCATAGAGCCAAATAAGAATAATCAAAATATGCAAATATAGCAGGTCTGAAGAGCACTATGATCTGAAGGTCAAATATGAACTGACAACTTCATGTTACATGTGATTCAGCCACTTTGTTGACTCAAAGAAACTTGAATGGAACTTTTATAGCATGCTAGTGTGTATGATAACCTTTGAATTCACTAAGAAAAGTAAACTATACTACTTATTATTCTACACCACAGAATTTAGATAAATTTACAAATTCTCCCATATAACTTCCTTTAAGTAGTTACAGTTTTTTGTATAATCAAGCAGGGAAACATTAAGAATAATTTCATCCTAATTCTTAGCACTACTTTAAAAATTTCTTCAAAAGAGAAACAGCACAGGATGAGTGACTGGTCAGACAGAAAGGAACCAGTAATTGCATTTAAATAGAAGAAAAAGCATTTTTTCTGCTCCAGATATCTATGTACAATCCATATGGAAAACAAGCAAGCTACAAAAGCAAATCCTGCAATGCACATCCCAAAATAGTACCAATATTGGCTTCTAATAGATCTACACTGAAGAAAGAACAGTGGTTTAATGCTTCTTTATAAGAGATTCAGAGCTACATTTCTTTCTTATTAGAAGTTTTAACTAAGCATAGTAAACAAACAGACTACTTTTTTTTAGATGTAACTTTATGTAAGTGGCAGTCTAGTTACAAATTTTTAAGTAACAGATAACTTTAGTGTCTTTAGAGAACTACTTACTCTATGGATTCGTAGTTCTTCTTTCAATGGTGCCAAACTGCATTTCTTTCCCAACATACAACTATACCACCTTTAATAAGGAAAAACAACATTTCAGAAGTGGGAAATAAAGTTCAAGTAAAGGAAATATATTTCTAAATCAGTAGAAGAAATCGGACTGTGATGTATTGGGGTGGCTCTCTTTCTTGGAACTAACCTTTTTTGAATGGATGACTTGTCTCTTTGACTTTTTTGAAACTGCAAACAACTTTACATTAAGATACAAATAATTAATATTTATTTTTGCTTTATTTAAAACTGACATTCTGATTTTCTTTTTGGTAGTTCTTTGATTAGTTTTAATTTCTTTTGGTTGTTTGGTATTAATCTCTGCTTAACTGGAAGCTGGCTGCTGGAAAAAATATTGCTCTGGTCTTTTCAAAATGTGAAAAATTAGATCAAAGAGAATGAAAACATGTATGTTTGCCACCATGTCAACATCATGATTCTGGGCACCTTGTGGGAGGCTCGGTTGTTATTTTGATAATGGAGCATTTGGTTAGTGTGGACCGATTTTCAATAAGACTTTCATTTCTAATTTGCTGTTGTTTCCTCTGATGAAGAAGAAGGGTAATAGGTTGTTGTTTTCTTACTCTCTAAATGTCACATCATCAGTAATATTACTTCATTAAGTAATGAAATGTTTGCAAGCAAACAACCAAGGTCAAATTCTTCTTTCATAGATATTTATACATGGTACCTGAATTAAGCAGACTATTTTGGATGCAAAATATATTATATAATATACAAAATATATTATATGCCATGAAAAAAGCATTGCATATATTGATTAGACTTTAAATCAAGTTGTAATATTTGTGGGTGTCCATATTGTTTTGAATTACATATCTAGTACATAGGAACTGATGAATGGATAATGGAAATGGATTCTTCTCATCCTTCATATTGTTTCTTATTATTAAGAAACTTGTTCTTCAACATTGGAAAGATAAATTTATGGCTACAATTCCTTAATATATTGAAGAATTTATTCTGAAGCTAATTATGATTGTGTGTGTGTGTGTGTAAAATTTCCATATTTTTGGTTTTTTTTTTAAATACAGACCTACAGTTTATACTAAATGCCAGTGCCTTTTAATTTAATGTAATTTCTTACCGTAATCTTTTTTTAAGTTGCAAGCTATCATGAATGATTCTCTTGACAAATTCTAGCTCTCCTCCTTCAGCCATGATCTCAGTTATGCCTCCTGTATTGACTGAACTAGGAGGTGGCCTTCTAGGATTACGAGAATTTACTCCCTGGAAAATAAACAATTTGTTTGCAAACTAAAATGTAAACAACTAATAGCTATTATTTTTTCCTGTGAGCTAATTATGTCATATCTTTTTTTCCTTTGATTAACATTTTTTTTTGCTATTGCCGTATTACTTCAAGAAACAATACAAGCAAAACAAAGCTATTCAAGAAAATAGATCTGGAGTAATTTAATAGCTTAAACTAAGATGTGCCATCATTAGAAAGATGAAATTAATTGCTTTATCATAAGCAATTGGATAACGTTCAAATAAGACAGAAAGCTGTTGGTAAAATGATTAGCAACATATTCTAGTAACTTATATTTTCACATTTTCTTTAAAAAAATTGGGTGACTTTTCTAATTACTTTCTGGTGTCATCTAAATTGATATTTATCCAAGATGTCAATAATCTAACCACTCAACCTTATGGTACATGTATTCTCCATTACTACAACAGTAGCATCTGGGCTTGTTATGAACTAACTAGGATGCAGAAAAGTAATAACTTGAATTAACATATTTAAAATAAATAGTTCGCTGCTCAGGCAGGCAACATAGCCTTATAATACATATAATTAAGAGTTAATGGACTGTTTTTTGCAGATTTACTATAAATAAGAAAACATAAAATACATGTAAGGAATCATACTATTTTACTTTAATAGTAAAAATTAACAGCATCAAAATGTAACAGAATCTTATCTATTTCACAATCAAAAATGAATCATTTACTATTTGCAATTCTTATGCCCAAAAGGTAGAATGACAAAGATAAAATTAATTATCTCTGTTTTTTAAAAAGTAGTGAAAAAACCCAACCAAAGAACAATTTTCAGTAGCTGATATAATAGGCATGTTTAACAATGGCTTTAATCTCACAATTCTTTATTTTTTATGATGGAAAGATTTTTGCTAGAAGAAAGAAGCCTTTTTTTAGAAGATGTGCTAGAAACATATGATTTATACTTTTGACTGTTATCAATTTATACATAGAAGCACTAAAAACACTCCCCGTGGAATTAAATCTGGTGGAATAAATTCATTAGTGTATGTTTTGCACTGTTTTTCTATAATAAAAAAATCTAAAATTATTAGTGTGGTAATAAATTTGTTATAGAATTTTACCAATATTTGCTATTACTAAAATGAGAAGTCATAATTATTGGAAATATACACCCACATACAACCATACATAAATAAACAGACATGTCACAAAAGCAAAATGGAAACATGCAACATTTTGGGTTTTTTTGAAGATCAAGTAAAATTGGTAAGAACTTTAATTAATAGAATTTTCTTAGATTTGAAATTATAGGATCAATGCAATTTGTCTTGTAACAAGTTGAATGATTTAACTAAAAGGTATTGGACCTTACAATTCACAGTTCTTATTAAAACAATAAAAATGTACCCAGTTATAATAAGACAAATGTGTAGTTTATAACTTTAAACATTATTTTAATGTTGAATTAACTGATCTTCCCCTCCAAAAAAGTAAAAGAAAAAAAGGAAGATGGTTATAGTAAAAATGTGCACTCCTTAATAACTGGTATATTGTAATTTAATAATTGAATTTGAATTTTAAGATTTGGAATTAAGAGTCAAAATCTTAAAAGACAATGCAGTAAAAGTGCTACATTCAATATGCCAGCAAATTTGGAAAACTCAACAGTGGCCACAGGATTGGAAAAGGTCAGTTTATATTCCATTCCAAAGAAGGGCAATGCCAAATAATGTTCAAACTACCACACCATTGCACTCATTTCACATGCTAGCAAAGTTATGCTCAAAATCCTACAAGCTAGGCTCCAGCAGTATGTGGACCAAGAACTACCAGAAGTACAGGCAGGATTTTGAAGAGGCAGAGGAACTAGAGATCAAATTGCCAACATACACTGGATCATGGAGAAAGCTAGGGAGTTCCAGAAAAACATCTACTTCTGCTTCATTGACTATGCTAAAGCCTTTGGTTGTGTGGATCACAACAAAGTGTGGCAAGTTCTTTAAGAGATGGGAGTACCAGACCATATTATTTATCTCTTGAGAAACCTATATGTGAGTCAAGAAGCAACAGTGAGAACTGGACACAGAACAACTGATTGGTTCAAAATCGAGAAAGGAGTTTGGCAAAGCTGTATACTGTCGCCCTGCCTATTTAACTTATATGCAGAGCACATCATGAGAAAGGCAGGGCTGGATGAATCACAAGTTGGAATTAAGATTGTCAGGAGAAATATCAACAACCTCAGATATATAGATGATACCACTCTAATGGCAGAAAATGAAGAGGAACTAAAGAGTCTCTTGATGTGAGTGCAAAAGCTGGCTTGAAACTCAACATTAAGAAAAACTAAGATCATGGAATCCAGCCTCTCAGTTCCTGGCAAGTAGATGGGGAAGAAATGGAGGTAATGACAGATTTTATTTTCCTGGGCTCCAGGATGGGGACTACAGCCAAGAAATTAAAAGGCGCTTGCTGTTGGGGAGGAAAGCTATGGCAAATCTAGACAGCATACTAAAAATCAGAGGCATTACCCTGCCAACAAAAATGTCAAGGCTATGGTTTTCCCAGTTTCAATGTATGGTTAGGCCAAAGGCTGAGCGCCAAAGAATTGAGGCCTTTGAACAATAGTGCTGGAGAAGACTCCTGTGAATCCCTTGGACTGCAAGGTGATCAAACCGGTCAGTCCTAGAGGAGATCAACCCTGACTGCTCTTTAGAAGGCCAGATCCTGAAGATGAAACTCAAATACTTTGGCCACCAAATAAGAAGGAAGGACTCATTGGAGAAGAACCTAATGCTGGGAATGATTGAGGACAAAAGAAGAAGGGGACGACAGAGAATGAGGTGGCTGGAGTTACTGAAGCAGTAGGCGTGAGCTTAAATGGACTCCAGAAGATGGTAGAGGACAGGAAGGCCTGGAGGAACGTTGTCCGTGGGGTTGCAATGGGTCAGACACAACTTCGCAACCAACAATTTAATAATATCTGTGATCCAGGATATACTTCCTATGACATCTATATTTTTGTTTATATTTTATATTTTGAATCTCTAGGGACTCCAAGGATCTCGATATCCTGAAAGATGGTGGTCCTTTGGACCTAAATTGTCTTGGAGAGATGATGATCGAGGAGAGGACACTCTGCTGATCCCAGGGATATCACAATATCCCTGGTAGATCGAGAGATAGCCTCTCTGGCTGACTTGAAAAGAAAGTGGTCATCAAACCGTTACAAAGCTGGGACAGTCTCTGGTGAAAAGAAGGAAAGAGTGTGATCAAATATCAAACTTTTTGAATAACAAAGAAAGAGCCCCCTGAAAAGAAAAGGGTGAAGAGAAAGCCAGAACTAAAGAGTGAGTGGCATTTAAACACCCCCCCCCCAAGAAAGCGGCGGGGAAAGCTGTTTCTCGCACAAATAGAAAGAGGAAGCCATTAATTATTGAACAAAGAATAAGAACTCTTTACAATTATTTTTGAAACTGCACTGGATTAATTGAACCTAATGAACTAAGGTGACCAAGAAAAGAAATTGGATTATTTTACTTTTGAATCATTACTTTTCCCTGATTTAAATTTAAAAAAAAACTTTTAAAAGGCTTACAAATAATTTTAACATTTTAAGTTAAAGGAAAAGCAATGCAACAGTGCCACCTACTGGGGGGGGGGGCAATTGAAGATAAAGGTGGAAAGGAGAAAGACTGACCTCGACACTAAAAGAAGACTAAATAAGACATATATCTACAGGGATAGAGGGTTACACTGAGAACTTGTATTGGAAAAAGTGTAATCCTTGTACACTAAAAGAAACAAAGACACAAAGAAACAGAAACCAGAACTCCTTTCACTGAATTGCTTATTATTTTCTTTTTCTTCTTCTTCTGTGTAAGCTGTTTGGATAGAGTGACAAAGAAGAAATAGCGAGACTGTACATTGACAAACGGTGACACAAGAGTTTTACAGCTGGATTTTAATCATTCGTTCCTAGTGGATATTGTTAAAGGATTTTCTTTTTTCATTCCTTATTTTTATTTTTTCCTTTTTCCTTTCTTATGGATATTAACTTTTTAAAATTTGGACTGCACTATTCTTTCTGCTTTTTTATTATTGGTAGAGTTAATTTTTGGACTTAATCTTTTTTCTCTTTCTTTTTTACTGTTTCCTTTTTTTTTCTTGAGCTCTCCCATTTTTACTGAGCTCTCTTGGTGATTTTCTTTTTTTATATATATCTTCTTGTTGGATTACAGTATTATCACGACAGAATATATTGGATTAAGGTATAGAAGAACCCGACGAAAGTTTCTTTTGTTTGGGGAAAGATCTTGTGGACTATAAATTGATAAGAGAAAATTAGTCAAAAATCTCAAGATGAAAAAAACAGTGACATCTGCACCATTCTCAGAATCTTCTGTGACACCCAGTTGTAGAGGGCAGAGTTCTCTTGATTTGATTATTCAACAAGAAAAGGGGGTGACAATGCAGGCGGAAATTAAAGCAATACTTCAAACAATGTAAGATCAAATGGCAAAGAGAAAGTGGATGAAAAAGTAGGGAAGATGGAAGGAAAAATAGATAATGTAGAAGGGAGAATATCCAACAAATGATGATGATGAATGAGGAACAAATGGGGAAAATGGAAGAAAAAACTTCTATAGTAGAAAGAAAATAATGTTGGAGATGGACAAGGCTGATTATTATCTAAGATTTCAAAATGTTGTAGAAGACAAAAACGAGAACTTAGCAGACATAATGGCAGACTTACTTGCAGCAGCCAGAGAAGAGACAAAAAAGAAAATGATACGGATGAAATCTTCAGAGTTTAGAACAGATATGGAATGAGAAATAAGCTACCAAGAAAAGTGCATATTAGATTTACAAAGAAGGCCATAAGAACAGAGATAATAAAGGTGGTGAAAGACGAACCATTAAAATATAAAGGAAAGGAGATAACTGTGTTGAAACAAATACAAAGAAGTATAAGAGATCTGAGAAGAAAATATCAGTTTTTGACAAAATGCTTGATTAAAGGAGAAATTAGTTTTAGATGGGCTGGTACCAGAGGGAATAATGGTGACTTGATGAGAGCACAGACTAGATATAATTGAGAAAGGAGAATTATTTTATGACCAATATTTCAGAGAATATGAAGGTGAAAAAAGAAGAGACATGGAAGAAATAAAACTGCGAGAAGAAATTGCAGAGAGGGAGGAGAGACAACAAAGAGAAGAAGAAAAAGAGCAGGAAGAGAAAATAACCAGGGAAGATGAGAGACCAAGACAGCAAAGAGAAATGAGAGTGACAAGGGTGACTAAAGCATATCACAAATAAGACCATGGATGAAGAAATTAAGTTAATGATGATTAATATAAATGGATTAAATTCTGCAATCAAAAGGGAAAGAATATTTAATAAATTAGAAAAACTAAAATTGGATATAATTTGTTTGCAAGAAGTGCATATTAAGAAACAATATGAGAAAGTATTAGACCATCCTAAGATTGGAAGATTATACACTACATTGGCACAACAAAGCAAAAGAGAAATAGCTTTATATATAAAAGACTATAAAAACGGAATTAATTTACCAGGACAATGAAGGGAGAGTACTGATAGTTGAAATATTGATGAACTATAAAAGGATATTTCATTACTAGTGGCTATTTATGCCCCAAATGAAAGACAAGACGAATTTTATGACAAACTACATAAAAAAATAGCAGAACTGGAAACATGAACATATTTGTGTTATTGGAGGTTACAATGCAATAGTAGATGTAAAAAAGGACTACAAAACACAAAAGACAAACAAAAGAATACTACCTAAGTCATTTTTTAAATGACAGAAGATGCATGGAGAGATGCATGGTTCAAGATGCATGGAGAGAAAGATATCCAGAAAAGCAACAATATACATTTTATTCAAATAGACATTTTATTCAAATCTTGGTCCAGAATAGATATGATATGGACAACAACAGAGATAATTGCTAATATACAAGACATAAGCAATGAAACAAATATATGGGCAGATCATTGTCCGATTAAAGTAATATGGAAAGGACAAAAGAAGAAGTCAAGATGGACAATGAATAATCTAATACTGAGAGAAAAAGAATATATTGAATACATGGAAAAGGAATTAAAAATTTTCTTCGAACAAAATAAGAAAGAAGAAACCTAATTAAATGTGTGGAATACAGCTAAAGCTTACATAAGAGGACTAAAATAACATATACTGGAAAGAGAAATAGAAAGAAAAGACAAGCACAAAAAATGTTACAAGAATATAAAAAACTGGAAGAACTGCAAAAAAAAAAATCCGCAAAATAAAGGAACTCAAGATAAAATGACTTTGACAAAACATAAAATGGAAATAACAGACAAAGAACTAGCACAAAAAATAAATAAGCCAGGTGTATAAATTGAAAAAAAGAGAAAGAAAAGAAAAGGATATCTCAACTAATGGATGATAAAGGGAACTTGTGTTATAGGAATGAAAGATAAGAAAGAAATAATACAAAAATATTATAGAGAATTATATAAAGAAGAACAAGTAGAGAAAGGAGAAATAGAGGAATATCTAAAGAAGATGGAACTACCTAAAGTGCCAGAAGAAATTAAAATGATGTTGGAAGGGAAAATTACAATGATGGAATTAATGGAAACAATTAAAAGACAAAATAATGGAAAAACGCCAGGGCCGGATGGCCTGCCAGCAGAAATGTATAAAGTTTTACAGGACTCTATAAGTGATATATTATTAGAAGTTGCAAATGAAATTCTGACTAAAGCTAAAATCCCTAACTCATGGATGGAAAGCATATATTACTCTTATACCAAAAGAGGATACTGATTTACAACAAGTAAAGAATTATGGGCCAATATCGCTGTTAAACTCGGATTACAGAATATTTGCATCAATAATGGCTGCAAGACTGAAATATATTTAAGCCAATTTATACATCCTGATCAAAATGGATTTTTACCTAAGAGACAAATAAGAGACAATATGAGAACAATCTTAAATACGTTGGAATATTACGAAACACATCCAGAGAAGCAGATGGCCTTGATATTCCTAAATGCACAGAAGGCCTTCGACAATGTGAATTGGCAATTTATGTTGATACAAATGAAGGAAATGGAGTTTGGGGAAATATTTATTAATATGATTAAGACTACATATTATAAACAATATGCAAAGGTATTGGTTAATGGAGAATTGACAGAGAAAATTCATATTGAGAAAGGAACAAGACAAGGGTGTCCTTTATCATCATTTTTGTTTATATTAGCTTTAGAAGTGTTAAATAGAACTATTAGGAAAGATAAGGAAATAAAAGGGATGGAAAAGAGGTGAACGAATTACAGGCATTTGTAGATGACTTCATTTTTATACCAGAAGAATCTCTAGGAACATGACCTAGGCTGATAAATAGAATAGAAAAATATGGGAGAATGGCTGGATTAAAAATAAACAAAGGGAAAACTAAGTTAGTGGTGAAGAATATGACAGAGAAACAAAAAAAGGAACTGTCAAAGGGTACAGATATTCAGATTGTAAAAAAAGTTAAATATTTGGGAATACAGTTGACAGCAAGGTGTGGAACAATTAAAGAAGACAATTATTATAAATTGAAACAGCAGATAAAGACAGAGTTAGAAAAATGGGGTAATATGCAGTTTTCCTTAACAGGAAGAATTGTGGCGATTAAGATGAACATATTGCCCAAAGTGTTATATCTATTTCAAACAATTCCGATAAAGTTAGAGAAAAAAAATACTTTGAAGATATTAATAAAATGGTGTTGAAATATATATGGCAAGGGAAGAAAGCACAAATTAATGTTAAAATGCTACAGGATGCCAGAACTAGAGGAGGATTTGAATTACCTAATTGGGAGATATACTATCAGGCCATGGCTTTAAGATGGATGAAATAATGGATATTGTTGAGGAACAAAAGGTTATAAACATTGGAAGGACATGACTTTACTTACAAATGGGCTGGCATGCATTTTTGTGGTATAGTAGAAGTAAAGCACATGGGTACTTTCAAAGGCATATGGTCAGGGATGCATTGTTATGTGTATGGGAAAAAACTAGGGAACAGCATTATATGAAGATACCAGTCTGGTTATCAAAGATAGAAGCACTTGTATACCCAAATGTTTGTAAAATGGGAAGTATTACTAGATATAAAGACATTTTGAATGAAAAGGGTGAGTTCAAAACAAAACAAGAATTGAATGAACAAGGATTAGTGATACATAGGTACTCGTATACTCAAATACAATCAAGGTATGAAAAAGACATTAAAGATATCATTTTACCAACCCTGGAAGGATGGAAGGCTGAGTAATAATGCTGGTATTATTGCTCCCTACAAATAACAATGAATGCATGAGATAAAGGTGTTCATTACCATGAAATAGACTGACACATGTTTAATAGAAATATAAAAGATAAATTCTCAATTAAGATCCATTGTGAACTGAAGAAATTATATGACAGACATTGGTTTCGTGTCTCATAATCTTTTCCTGTAGCCAAATTAGAGAAAAGTTTAATTTTGCTTTACAGCAGATGGCAACAACTCTCGGGCCTTGGTTGATTTCAAAGAAGATAAACAGGGATAGGAAATCACCAAGAAACTGCAGCAATGTAGGCTGCACAGTGAAAAAAAGTGAGACATTTTCATAGTTATCAAAGAAATAAAATGTATATATCTATTCATCAGAAACAATGGTAAATGTACATTTCCCATTTGTAAGCATCTCAAAGGCATCTGTTTGGCAAGTATGAGAAACAAAAAGCTGGAGTAAGATGTGTCCCGACCTGAGCCTTATGAACTTGAGGAATTCTTTATTTTACCTTGTTATGCAAATAAACAAATGGGATAATTTTTACATGTTTTGTTTCAGTTATAACATCACCATTCGACTTCAAGCATTATAAATATGAAATATCCTCTCAACAATAAGTATTCATCAAATGAAGAAGAAAAAGTCCATTGATAAGCTCATAATAAACAAACCTTTGCTTCTAGTTGGTTGGCAAAAAATGGAGGATTGCACATACAGAAATCATAAATAACTTCACACTCTTCTTCTAACGCATCCAGTAGTAGTGTTTTTTGTGGTACTTTAACCACTAGAAGAAAAATAAAGAGAAATAATTAGTAGACAGTCTTTTCATTCAACATTAGAAGATTGTTCCTAATAAATCAAAATGAAAAATATTTATCTAGGTTAACAGATAACAGATAATCAGAGTTGGAAGGGACCTTGTAGGTCATCTAGGCCAATCACCCGTCCAAGCAGGAGACCCTGCACCATTTCTCACACATGGCAGTCCAATCTCTTCTTGAAAGTCTCAAGTGATGATGCTCCACAACTTCCGAGGGCAAGCTGTTCCATTGGTTGATTGTTCTGTCAGAAAGTTTCTCCTTATTTCCAGGTTAAATCTCTCCTTGTTCAGTTTCCATCCATTATTCCTTGTCTGGCCTACAGGTGCTTTAGAAAATAGCTTGACCCCTTCCTCTCTGTGGCAGCCCTTCAAATATTGGAAGACTGCTATCATGTCTCCCCTGGTCCTTCTCTTTACTAGACTAGCCAAGCCCAGTTCCCGTAACCGTTCTTCATACATTTTAGCCTCCAGTCCCCTAATCATCCTGGTTGCTCTTCTCTGTACTTTTTCTAGAGTCTCAACATCTTTTTTGTAATATGGTGAACAGAACTGGATGCAGTACTCTAGGTGTGGTCTTAATAAGGCTTTATAGAGTGGTATTAGTACCTCCCTTGATCTTGATTGTATCCCTCTGTTAATACAACAGAGGTTGTTAGCACTTCATGTTCCAAACACAAGTGAAGCATTCTAGACCTTAGATCAGGGGTCTTCAAACTTGGCAAGTTTAAGATTTGTGGACTTCAACTCCCAGAATTCCTCCTCCAGTCATGTTAGCTCAGGAATTCTGGGGATTGAAGTCTACAAGTCTTAAACTTGCCAAGTTTGAAGACCCTTGCCTTAGATGCTCAGTTTAATAGCTACATTTTTATTATAAATCTAGTGGTACAACTATTAAAAGGGATAATTGGAAATTCATATAGTAAAATAAATGTAATAATTAGCCTTTAACAATTTGTCATTATTATCTATTTCTAATGGAGTAACTGGAAGGAAAGCTAGATGTTTTGATAATTGATTTCCTATTCATTGCCAGTAGTGTTTAACAAAGTAGTTTAAAAAGAACCCTTTGAATCAGAACAAACAACCTCTAAATCATGTGTTTTATATATGATCTTGTTTTTAAACAGCAGATAAAGTACTCTGCCTAGGTATTATCAAAGACAAACAAAATGTTACCTTTTATAAGATCAGATAAGTTATTTTGCTCTACATTTTTCTTGGCATAGCTGAAACATATATCATCCACTTCTGTTGCAATAAAATACCATCCATTCAAAGTTGCACCAAGTAATGGGTAAATACAGGATGCACCAGTACCTATATTACATTCAAGAAGGGGAAATTGGATTAATTAAAAGTGAACAATAGGAAAAACATACTAACTTTGAAGCCTTTCCAAGATAATCACAGGGTATTAGTTGATTGCATCAAGTAAACCTTTACTAAATGAATTCTGCATGAAAAAGAGGATCTTTTTTGCTACTCCTTAAGACAGGGGTGTCAAATTCACAGCATCACGGCAGCATCATGTGGTGTATCGGGACTTTTTTCCTCTTTGCTAAACCAGGTGTGGGCATAGCCAGCATGTGATCCATCTGGCCCGTGGGCCGGGAGCTTGACAGACATAAACATTAAGTTTTAAAAAGTAGTTTCCTTTTGAGTTTAGTTTAATTCCTGGTGACTGCATGACCACATTCATGTAGTCTACAACATACCTATGTCTATTCCCCATGTAACAGAACCTTTAGTAGCAGTATCTTGCTGAGCAATTAGATCTTCAACCCAGTGGATATAATTCAGTCTCAGGGGAACAGTTGGAATAAGCCTTTCTAATGGTATATCTATCTGAAGTCCAAAATCTTCTTTCAGCAGCGTACATGTTAGTGCTCTTACTGCTTGTGGATCCTTGAAATTTAAACTGGAAGGTACAAGAAACAGAGAGAGAACCATGGAATGAGTAAACAACAGACAAAAACAGGGTTTAAATAATCTGCTATATCCAGAATGATCTGCTATTGTATTCCAATCACATTTTCAAAATGGGAGATCAAATACAAATCAGTACTTATCTAGTATAAATGAGTTTAAGGAAGATATCAAATATAGATTGATCCAGGATGGAGGTAAAGCACCATATTCTCTTTCAGAATTGCTGGCATCATTACTTCTCAAAGAGAGGCATTATAACCATTGGTAGCTTTCTTTGTTCCCTGAATAAGCCACATATAGGTTTTAGCCCACAAATAAAAAGAGACAATCTAAAGGGCTCAATCCGGCACTTGTTTGAACTGCCCATAAGATAGCTAAGAAAAAAACAACCAAGCACTTGTCAGAACCCATTTGGATTCATAAGGTGCTTGGGGCAAATCATTTTAATCAGACATCTTAATATATAAATCTGGCTACTAATTCCTATTCAACAGACAAATAAGTGCACACTATGTGAAAAAAGTGGTAGTAAAGTCTCATATACATTCTATTAACTTGTGAATATTATCAAAAGTACATTCATGATTCTTTTTTATTATGGGTAATTATCTGGCAGACGGTTCAGCGGAAATAACCTAAAGACAGGGTGGGTGAGCACTGTCTGTCATTTCTATATCTCCAAAAATGGGCAGTAGAGAGACTAACAGTAAGAAGACTTGAAGATCACCAAGGTGGCAGTGCATCCAATTTCCTATTGTGCATAAGCATACATGTGACCACTGCTAATTATAATAGACCTATGTTTTTAAGTTTTTACAGGGTTCTCCCATATAAAAGAATCATTATTCCTTACTGATGTGACACAAACAACAAGCAAGCTTGCCTTAAGATAAATAGCAATAGTGGGTAATTTGATTCCAGCTATTTTTATGGGACTTGTTACTTTTTTATTGTGGCCAAATATCTAAACCAAGTTTAATTGCTTTACAAGCAAGGGTTGTAACAAATGAAACCAAATCCTGTCTGGAAATGAAGCATTAGGGAGAATTGTATTTCTGTTGCCTAATACTGGTAAATAACCATAATAAAATTAACTGACTAGCTTGGATAAAGCTGTCAGAGGCAATAATCCTGACATAAGTTTGCTAGCAACTCATGTTTAAGCAGGCTTATTTAATAGATGCTATGAGAGCATTTAGGAATAATAAATTAGCTATTTTGCTGATTTCTGAAGGCACGTCTCAGATTTTTTTTTTGGGGGGGGGAGGCTACATGTGGTCTTCAGGTAGCCAGCTTGTCTTGGTATTTGCCCCATTACTTTGTTAGGGAATAGAAAGTAGTGGGACTTATATGCTTTTTATGTCCTTTTCTTAAAAGTTAAAACAGAAACCATAATTATTTATATCACAGATTCGTCAAAATAAGCTCAGACCTGTGTTTGAACCATTTCAATTCTTTAGCCCTAAATAAAAATTGTTATAATATTCTAACAAGCTTCATTTTATTAAAACTTTGGAGCAATCAGAATTACTACCCCAATAAGCCTACACATCTGAAGAACAAGAAGTTAGAGGTTTTAAAAGGATTCTTAACTTTCCCAATAAGTTGTACTTTTGTATCTACATTGTCAATTCCCTTTAGCAATATTTAAGCCAAAAAGCAATCTTAGTGCATCTAACCCATAGCCTCCCCAGATAAAAATGCTCTCTAATTTTTGCTACTAATGAAACCCTGAGCCTTAGTAATGCACATATTTGTGTGTGTGTGTGTGTATACATACATACAGTACCTTGTCGAATACCAGGTTAATTTCCTCAGTTAAAAACTACATATATGCAATATTTTAAGCTGAACAACCGGAGAGATATTTGTTTCTTTCTCTCTCTTTCTACTTCCCCCTCTCAGAGTGAGATTTTAGATTATGAATGCTATCCCCATCAGTCTAGCACTCATGTTACCTACTTTGGGTAATGAAACGTCTGCAAGAAAGCCATGCTCATTTCATTTCAACCTTGGGCTTCAAATATTCTCCTTTACTGGTATTGTGAATCCTCGTAGAAGAAAACCTTCTCTCATCCGGTGAAACACAGCCTTCACCGATAAGTACTCACGTAAAGAGAAAAGATAAGCGGATGTACATGTTGACCTACCTCATTCTTCCTGACAAATTAATTTGCACGTGCTGGTTAAATTCTGGATACTTGGATGCCAGAAAAGCGAAGTCGGGAGGTTTGTTCTTGTACCTATTCCTCTCATGCATAGATTTGTTGAGGGCCATCTGGAGGGCCGGCCAATACCTACTGATATGAAAAGTTTACCAGGTCACCTCAAAAGTGTGAGCACCCCCGCCCCCCAAAGACTACCCACCAAGATGCTCGGACCTCTTCCAGGGAGATTCCCTCTCCCTCCCTCCCTCCCTCCCTCCCGCGAAGAAGGCGCAGCCCGGTGGGGGAGAAGCATTAAAACAAACAAACAAAAACACCGTTCAAGTCTCTTTGGTGCAAACTGCGGAACACTCCTCCTCGCGCACACCGGAAGTGCGCCGAGTGACTGCGTTTGCTTTTTAAAGGAAGTCCTGCAGGGCCACTCTGAACATCGATACCTCTATGGTTAAAGCTGGTCTTGTGCCCACCTTCCCTTGGGGAAGTGGAGGGGTGGGAGGTGCGTTCGGCCCTTGTCTTTTTTCCCCCTTTCGTTAGCAGGAACTAGGGCGTCGGTTTCTAGTAGGGAATAGAGGCAGTTGCATCTTTCTTGGCTGAAGCGCGAGGGAGACGCTCCTTTGCCAAGAACAGCCTCCCCTCGTCTGCCTTCAGAAAAGTTAGTGAAGAGTAGCTGGTCGCTGCTCTTGGCTCGTTATTGCCTCGTTGCCAGAGTAAACGGTTGACTAGGAGTGCCTATATGAAGTGTGGGGGTAAACAGGTAGGGGGATCCTGCCCCTTATTGTTGGACACCACCCCACATTTGGGTTGCTAGACGTTGTCGTTCACCAACTTTGGATGCCTAGCGCTCTCAAAGTTTGAAATAACACTGAAGTACAGGTGAAACTCGAAAAATTAGAATTTTGTGCAAAAGTTCATTTATTTCACTAATGCAACTTAAAAGGTGAACCTAATATACTGTATGAGATATATGAGATCTGCACCAAGTGAGAAATCAAATAAGTTCCTAACCAATCTAGCTGACATCTTTGTTGTCCAAAAGGTAGAGGGTGAAACTAGAGGGACAGCCATACAGGACTTAATTCTTACAAACAGAGAAGAAGTGATAGAGGGAGCTGAAACTGCAGGAATCTTGGGTGAGAGTGACCATGTCATACAAGAATGCAACATAACACAAACACAAGCAACAGAACATAATGACACCAGAGTCTTGGATTTTAAAAGAGCTGATTTTAATAAACTCAGAGAGAACTTGGGAAAGATTCCATGGATGAAAATCCTAAAGAGGAAAAGAACTTAAGAATCTTGGGAAACTCTAAAAAGTATGATCATAGAAGCCCAGACCAGCACAATTCCACTGAGAAAGAAAAACAAGAAATCAAAGAAGAAACCAGAATGGCTGCTCAAAGATCTCTCTGGCAAATTGAAAGGAAAAAAAAGGACAACTACAAAAAATGGAAAGAAGGACATACAGCTAAGGCAGAATATCAGCAGATAGCCAAAATCTGCAAAGATGAAGTCAGGAAAGCAAAGGCTCAGAACAAACAAAGACTTGCAATGAAAGTCAAAGATAATAAAAAAAGTTTATTCCAACATATAAATAAGAAAAAAATCAAGGAAACAGTCGGTCCACTAAAGAGAGAAGATGGCAAGGAAGTAACAGGCAACAGAGAGAAAGCAGAACTGCTTAACTCATTCTTTGCATCTGTCTTCACGCAAAAAGAAACTATAGCTCAATCCACCAAAAACATAACTGTAAAAGACAGACCAGAAATAAAAGTTAAAATAAGCAAAAAAATAGTAAGAGAACACCTGCCTGATCTTGATGAAAACAAATCACCGGGGCCTGATGGATTCCATCCCAGAGTTTTAAAGGAGCTGGCAGAGGTCATCTCAGAACCACTGCACCATATCTTTCAAAAATCCTGGAGCACCAGGGAACTACCAGAGGACTGGAAAAGAGCTGATGGTTCCCATCTTCAAAAAAGGGGGGAAAAACAGACCCAGGAAACTATAGACCAATCAGCCTAACATCAGTACCCGGGAAGATACTGGAAAAGATAATAAAAAACAGATCTGCCAGCATCTAGAAACAAGTAAAGAAATAAGCAGCAGTCAGCACGGGTTTGTTAAAAATAGATCATGCCAAATCAATCTCATTTCATTCTTCAACACAGTGACTAAATTATTAGACCAGCAAAATACTGTGGACATAATATATTTAGATTTCAGCAAGGCATTCAACAAAGTAGACCACAACCTATTTCTTAGTAAGCTAGAAAAAAGTGGAATAGATAGCACCACCACTAGATGGATTCTCAACTGACTGGCAAACCGTACTCAACGATTAGTTCTTAATGGGTCTAAGTCTACATGGAGGGAAGTAAGCAGTGGGGTGCCACAAAGTTCCGTCTTAGGCCCAGTACTCTTCAATATCTTCATTAACGACTTAGATGAGGGAATAGAAGGGGAACTTACCAAATTTGCAGATGATACTAAGCTGGCAGGAATAGCTAACACCCAAGAAGATAGGCTCAAGATCCAGATGGATCTTGACAGACTAGAACATTGGGCCATATCTAACAAAATGAAAATCAATGTAGAGAAAAGTAAAGTCCTACACTTAGGCAAGAAAAACCAAAAGTACACATATACACATATACTGGGTGAAACCAGGCTCAATAGCAGTAACTGTGAGAGGGATCTTGGAGTCCTAGTGGACAACCAGCTAAATACGAGCCAGCAGTGTGTAGCAGCAGCCAAAAAAGCTAATGCAATCCTAAATTGTATTAACAAAGGGATACAATAAAGATCAAGGGAAGTACTAATACCACTCTATAAAGCCTTAGTAAGACCACACCTAGAGTACTGCATCCAGTTTTGCTCAACACATCTTTAAAAAGATGCTGAGATTAGAAAAAGTACAGAGAAGAGCAACCATGATGATTTGGGGACGGGATGCTAAAACGTACAAAGAATGGTTGCAGGAACTGGGCTTGGCTAGTCTAGTAAAGAGAAGGACCAGGGGAGACATGATAGCAATTTTCCAATATTTGAGGGGCTGCCACAGAGGGGAAGGGGTCAAGCTATTTTTGAAAGCGTCTGTAGGCCAGACAAGGAATAATGGATGGAAACTGAACAAGGAGAGATTTAACTTGGAAATAAGGAGAAACTTTCTGACAGTGAGAACAATCAACCAATGGAACAGCTTGCCCTCGGAAGTTGTGGGAGCATCATCACTTGAGACTTTCAAGAAGAGATTGGACTGCCATTTGTCAGAAATGGTGTAGGGTCTCCTGCTTGGGCGGGTGATTGGCCTAGATGACCTATAAGGTCCCTTCCAACTCTGATTATCTGTTATACAGATAGACTCATTACATGCAAAGCAAGATAGTTCAAGCCGTGATGTGTCATAATTGAGATGATTATGGCTCACAGGTCATGAAAACCCCAAATCCACAATCTCAGAAAATTAGAATGTTGTGAAAAGGTTCAATATTCTAGGCTTAAAGTGTCCCACTCTAATCAGCCGTAACACCTGCAAAAGGTTTCTGAGCCTTTAAATGGTCTCTCAGTCTGGTTCACTAGGAATCACAATCATGGGAAAGACTGGTGACCTAACAGTTGTACAGAAAACCATCATTGACACCCTCCATAAGGAGGGAAAGCCTCAAAAGGTAATTGCAAAAGAAGTTGGATGTTCCCAAAGTGCTGTATCAAAGCACATTAATAGAAAGTTATGTGGAAGGGAAAAGTGTTGAAGAAAAAGGTGCACAAGCAGCAGAGATGACCACAGCCTGGAGAGGACTGTCAGGAAAAGGCCATTCAAAAGTGTTGGGGACTTTCACAAGGAGTGGACTGAGGCTGGAGTCAGTGCATCAAGAGCCACCACACACAGACGGGTCCTGGACATGGGCTTCAAATATCGTATTCCTCTTGTCAAGCCACTCCTGAACAACAAACAACATCAGAAGCGTCTTACCTGGGCTAAAACAGAACTGGTCTGTTGCTCAGTGGTCCAAAGTCCTCTTTTCTGATGAGAGCAACTTTTGCATCTCATTTGGAAACCAAAGACCCAGAGTCTGGAGGAAGAATGGAGAGGCACACACTGCAAGATACTTGAAGTCCAGTGTGAAGTTTCCACAGTCTGTGTTGATTTAGGGAGCCATCATCTGCTGGTGTTGGTCCACTATGTCATCTGCTGGTGTTGGTCCACTGTACTTCATTAAGTCCAGGGTCAACGCAGCTGTCTACCAGGAGATTTTGGAGCACTTCATGCTTCCTTCTGCAGATGAGCTTTATGGGGATGCTGACTTAATTTTCCAGCAGGACTTGGCACCTGCCACACTGCCAAAAGCACCAAAACCTGGTTCAATGACCGTGGGATTACTGTGCTTGATTGTCCAGCAAACTCGCCTGACCTGAACCCCATTGCCAAGAGAAAGATGAGAGACATGAGACCAAACAATGCAGAAGAGCTGAAGGCTGCTATTGAAGCATCCTGGTCTTCCATAACACCTCAGCAGTACCACAGGCTGAGAGCTTCCATGCCACACCGCATTGAGGCAGTAATTGCTGCAAAAGGGGCCCAAACCAATATGTACTGAGTACATATGCATGCTTATACTTTTCAGAGATCCGATATTGTTCTATGTACAATCCTTGTTTTATTGATTGCATGTAATATTCTAATTTTCTGAGATTGTGGATTTGGGATTTTCATGAGCTGTAAGCCATAATCATCACAATTATGACACATCACGGCTTGAACTATCTTGCTTTGCATGTAATGAGTCTATCTCACATATTAGTTCCACCTTTTAAGTTGCATTACTGAAATAAATGAACTTTTGCACAATATTCTAATTTTTCGAGTTTCACCTGTAAAAATACAGATGGGGAATTTATACAGTATTATGCCGTCATAAATGCAAACCTCTATTTAAACATTCAATTATCACCACTCAGTTAAACTCCATCTCCCAACATTTAAAGCATGAGTACAAACATATGTGCCTACACACATAAAGAGTTTATTTAAGTTAAATTTTGTACCAAAATTTTAATCCAATAATATTTACTATTTCAATTCTTTTACCATGTCATATCAACTATTAACCCAAGCATGTGTAGAAATCTCTAAATACCAAAACATTAGGAGTAACTGGATCTCCAGACTCATAAAATGTTTAGATATTTGCAGATGGATTAACAAGTAATACTTGCTAATATAATTTACAAGTAATACATTTAATTTGCATAGTTTTAAAATTGTAATTGCTTTTCTATTTATCATTTTATGATCTGTAAGCTGCCCAGAGTTGTAAAGGAGATGGGTGCCATATAAATGTAATAAATAAATGAATTTGTGTTACCCTTGCTAAGTAA